AGAGAAAGAATTGAGAGGAATGACAAAAGTGAGTAAGGGTTTAGGGGGTTTGAAAATACCCTTAACCTTAAAACTTAGAATCCACGATATATAAAGATATTTTTGTCTACTAAAATCCGGTATCTATTGCTAAAATGTACCAACTGAAAAACAAGCATACGCACGTTAGCAAACCCATATATATATATATATACTCACATGTATTTACTTCAATTTTATGATAAAAAATTATTATTACAACTATAAAATTAAATATAAATAATTTTATAATATTATTATACATTTTTTTATTTATTTTATAAATAATTTTTAATTAAAATATGATCAAATCATAATAAAACAGATAAAATTTAAAGAATCGATAAATGATAAAATTGATAAAATAATTATTTTATTTTAAAAAATATTTAAATATAAAATTAAAAAATTAAAATGAAAAAAGATCCATTTATATATTTAAAAAATTATTGTATAAATAATACTAGATATAACTTATTAGAATTTTTTTTATAAAATAAATTTAGTATTTAATGGTCCATAAGTATTGATATATTATATTATAAAATAATTTTAAAATAACAATGATATTAATATTTATTTGCATAAGAAATATAATGCCGATTTAATAGTTAATAAATTATATTACTGAAATCATTTAAGTAATTTTCAAATAATATATCTCTATAGTCATATGTAAGTGAACTTAAAGTTTTATTAAGGGAAGAATACAATTTTAATGTTAATATATATTTCAATTCATATATAAAATTTTACATAGAATCACAGAATGTGAAATACTAGTAAAACCAATATTCTTAGGATAACTTTTTAACTATCAAAACAAATGGTTGTAACCAAAGCATCTTAGAGATATTGAAAAAGATTATTATTTTAAATTCAGATGCACAAAAATTATAAAAATAATCACATTTTTTTTTAAATTATAACATTCTTATGAAATAAATCTTAGTATAAAATAATAATGGCATATTATGATATTAATAAATGCTAAAACTATTTACTTCAACAGTTATATTAATAAATCTTGTATTTTAATGTTATTTATAAATTTTTAATGCTGACATATTTTAAAATGTGGTAACTTATAAATATTTAAAATTTATTTGAAAGATACAAATTACATAATTATTACATATGCATAAGTTAAATATTAAAACTGCCCACATTTAAAGTTCTTTATGAATAATTATGAAAATCAATTTAAAGGGGATAGGTAAAAACAATTTATATTAATACATAATTATTTTTCAAACTGTTTTCTTAGAAAAATTAATTTTATATTTTGTCTTATTATATTTTAAAATCATAAATTCATAATTTGAAGAAATATTAAATATGTTTTTATTCTTTAACTTTTATTAAAAATTGTAAATATTATTTTTTAAAATTTAGTTTAATTTACTCGACAACTTAAAAAATGTGTAAATTTAGTTATTTTAGTTAAATTTTATAAGATTTATTTCACTTTTCAAACATATTTTATAATACCATTTAGATATTCAATTTGACATATTTTTATTTTAATGTTAACTGAACATCAAATAAATTTAACAAAATTTAATTAAAGAAAATTGAATTCACGAGTTTTTAAAGATAAAAAACTAAATTAATTCAAAATTTTGAAAATAAACTAATTATAATTTTTAATAAAAATTGAAGAATTAAAAACATATTCAATTATATATATTTTATTGACATATGAAATATAGTAAAATGTAAAAGAACGAAATATTTTCTACAATTAACTTTAATACTCTTACTAGTTTATAAAACTCATTGAAGAGTAATTACTAATGTAAAAAATATTAAATAAAAAATCATTAAATAATAATAAAGAAATATTTACACATTATGTTTTACACACACACATATTACTTTTAAATATATAATTAAAATTAATATAAATATTAAATTATAATGTATTCAATAAAATAGTATATAACTTCTGTAACAAAATGTCTATAATTCCAATAATAAATAATAAAATTTATATCTATTAATGTATATGTGGAGTCTGCCTGCATTTTATATTTTAATATTGAAAATAAAATGAATGTGATTAATCTTTTTTAAATGTTATATATAGAGTAATTAATCTACATGTTATAATACATTACAAAATAATATTTTTACTAAGTTAAATGTAATATAAATGAATTATAGTAATATAATTTTAATTGAAATATATAGTATAGTAATGTTAACATAAAGAATTGTAGTTAATTATAGGTAATAATATACTATATTAATGCTAATAACATTTTTTTAGAGAACTTTGTATTAAAGATGTCATTAAATATTTTACTGTATAAATAAGATTAATTATTTAATATTTTACCGATGAAATTTAAATAACTAATATTTTATACTTTTGAAATAATTATTAGTATAAATAATTAATATTTATACTAATTGAAGTTTAGAACTACCAAATTGATTAGGCAAAAGTCAAAGGGTGAGTTGATTAGGCTTAAGAGTCGAGGTGAGCGGATCCGAGTCACTCGATTAAGCCATGTTGGTCTGTATCAAAGATCGAGTACAATTGGTCCAAGTCGAAGGGGCAATTTTAGTTAACCTGAATAGAATATCAAGATGGATCAACCCTAGTCGAAGGTTGAGATAATTAATTTTGGTCAAAATTCAAGACAAGTCGACCTTCATCGAAGTTCGAGGCGTGTCGAAGCTCGAGTTAAGTTAATGTTATCAAAATGGTTAGAACCTATAGTAATTTGGCCTTGAGCCGGGTTGGATAGAAAAAATATTAAAATTTCGATAAAGGACCAATTTTAAGCAAGCTCGACTTACTAAAAACTCTGCTCACTCGGGTAGAACCTGTCTAATTTTACTTTTTGAGCTTGCTTTTGGATTATATTTTGGAGTTTAAGAAGATTTTGGATTTGTATTGTATTTTTTTTATTTTGAATTGGTTTTGGAATTTAACAACATTTCGGATTTAAATTTACTTAGATTTGAATTAAAAAAATTTGTAACTTTTTTTAAATGAAAAAAGAATTATAATTAAGTCAATAAGTCAACCCATTTAACCTACTAACCCATGGTGAGCCATATTAGTGAGCGAGACAAAAAAAATCATTGTAGGCTAGGCTAAGTGATCCATTTTGACAGCACTAAGTTGAGTAAGCCCATACTAAAGGTCAAGCTAAGTAGGCCCCACCTTAAGACTGAGCCCAATCGGTTGGAGCCAAAGGGTTGAACTAAGCCAACTCGGGCAAAAGACTAAGCTGAGTTAGTCTAATTGAAGGTCGAGACCAATTGGCCTGTATCAGAGATTGAGACAAGTCAACGTTAATTGAAAGTCAAACTAAGTCGATATAAGTCAACATTGGTTGAAGTCTAAGACAATTTGGCATTAGGCTGAAGGTTAATTCGAGTAGGCCTAAGGTGAAGGATGTCTATTCAAGTAGACCTAAAGCGAAGGTTGAGCTGAGTAGGTATAGGCTGAAAGTAGAGTCAGATCACCAAAAATGGAGGTCTAGTTTAGCCTGACTGAATCAAAGAGTTAAGCTGAGTCGACTCAAACAAAAGATTGAACTAAATCGACTGGAATCTTGAAGCATTGCTATAGATAGAAATGAGTTGACTCGCCGAAGTTTAAGTCAAGTAGACTCATAATCAAGATGAGTTGACCTAAGCTAAATGTTGGGATTAAATTGAATATGAGTTGACTTTTTTATATCTATGTACTTTTTTAATCATGATTAAGGAAGAATTTGAAAACTCGTGGAATTTCAACTTTTTTTCAGTGTCTATAGTTTCAGTTATTTGAAATAATTTTTAAAAATTTTTCTCTATACTAGTCAATTTACTTTAATAAATTTCAAATTCTTCAAATAAATTAATTATTTTCTTAAATTTTATTTTCTAAATATAACGTAATTTCACTATATGATAGTGTAATTTTTTTCACCACTTTTAGTGTCAAAATTTTTAAGATTTTCTTTTTTAAATTTAAGATGAATTAAAATAAAATAAGTCGAGTTAATTATATTTTCACAATGAGATTTTAATCAACACTCTAATATAAATTTCATTTTGTAGATATGAGATAATATTTATTTATTTAGTCCAAAATATTTATGAGTAGAGTTTGCGATAATTTTAGTAATTTTTTTTTTTGTAAATATTTAATTTTAACCATTTCTTCTTCTAAATATTTAGTTGTAAGATTAACAAAACCTTATGTGTTAGTATTTTTGTAATTGTGAGATTAACCTCAACCTTGTATAACTATTCTTTTACGCTACATTACCTTCATAGATAAAGATGAAGTAAGAAACCTTCCAACGAGTGAATGAATTGAAGATTAAGAAGGACAATTAATATTAAAATTGCATAATTTTTTGCATTGGACCTTTGTAATTATACATTGTAATTAGTTTTTTCATGGACACTATTTTTCTGAGTTATATGGTTTATTGGATTACCTAATTAGTGATGAGCCAATTAATCTTGGTTCATAATATAAATACTCTATTATGTTACTTTTATCAAAAGATTAAAAATCATTTTATAAATTGAAGTTTGTGTTAGAATCTTTGGTAAAACTTTGTATTCTTATTTTTTTTAATTGCAAATACGGTAAAAATTGTCGAAAAAAGATCTTTCCCTAATTTTTTATTAAATGTTCATCATATGGTATCATTTGGTTAATTTCTAAAAATATTAGGAATATGATCATAATTAATTTCTCCTTGATGATTGTAACTCATCTTGGATGGTTTAAGAACATTTAAACATAGTTTAAATGTTTTAATTAAACTTGTTTTTCTTAATTTTGTGAATTTTGTATTTGAAACTCAAGTTTTCATAAATTTAAAAAGTGTATCATGATAAGTTTTCATCATTCCTATGCGAATAATGGTTAGGGGATAAATGCTAACCATTTATAACAAAACCATCAGAATCTTAGATATTTAGGAGAACTAGAAATACTATTGGTTTAAAAATCGAAAAAATATCAAAATCAGAAATGAAGGCAGAGAAGAGAAGAAGCTCATCCGAAAGGAATGGCTTCCATTTCCTGGTTCTGTTGTGTGCACGTGCGACCCACACTCTGCAACTTCACACCCTCTCAGGCAGATAAAGGTCCAACATTTCCCTACCCATTAACTCCATTTTCATGTTCTTCAATATCAGTCATCATTTCGCTCAGGTTTTTTTTGTTCAGGTCCATCGCTTCTCGCATCCTTGGAACATCATAAGACTAAGTCATGCTCACTGTAAGAATTCAAGTATTACCTTTTTGCTTCTCAATTCCCAATGTTTTATGCACACACAACATGGTCTTCATATCTGTGTTTGTTCTTTCAGTTCTTCCATCGAAGAAGGACGTGGGGTTAATAGAAGGCAACTTCTTCTTCACACCGCAGTAGCAGTACCTGCATTTGCAGTCCCCAATGCATTGGCACTCACTGGTGATTTTCTCATTTTCTTTTTAATTAGTTTAAAAATAAATTATGTGTCTTGGATCCGGTTTCATAGATATTTTTAGTGCTATTTTTCAATTCTGAATTGAAGTTTCATCTGCATAATCTATGTCTTATTAATTATAAAAACCAATCTTCAATTCTGATTGAAAACACTTTCAAAAACATTTATGGAACTGTGTGTATGTTTTGTTGATTAATTAGCTATATGCATCGTATAATGTTAATTTTTGCGAGTCTCAGACGTGTCTGAGGATGTTCGTGTGTACACTGATGATGAGAACAAGTTCAAGATTGAGATTCCCCAAGGTGAATTTGAATTGAATTGCAAGCTTTGAAGAGAAAGTTAAAACCATAGACTCAACTCAACTTCAGTTTCTTGAATTATATACTCCTTGTGTTCTTATGGCTGAATCAGGGTGGCAAGTGGGAAATGGAGAGTCTAATGGATTTAAATCAATAACTGCCTTTTACCCAACAGAAACAGCCAATTCCAATGGTGTTATTCTCAGCGTTTATTTCTTCGCAATTTGAGTTTCTGATTTTTTGTCTCTTCAGCCATCATAATTTCTTCTTGTGTAAAATCATCTGCTTACTGTTGTGGCTTCAGTGAGCGTTGCCATCACTGGGCTGGGACCGGATTTCACTAGGATGGAATCCTTTGGCAAAGTTGATGAGTTTGCACAGACTCTGGTGTGATTTCATGATCAGATTTAAAATTATTACTTGGTTTAGAGTTTTCTTTCTCATTATTCCACCCAATGCTAAAATTTCTCCCTTTTTCGTTAAAATGAATTCAACAGGTTAGTGGACTAGACAGAAGCTGGCAAAGACCCCCGGGTGTAGCTGCTAAACTAATAGATTGCAGATCATCTAATGGTGTGTACTTTTACTTTTGAAATTGGTTCGTTATGGTATGTGTTATGAGATTATAAGGAAAAAAATTAAGGATGTTGTAAATTTTGTCCTTCTCTTTTTAAGTAAAATGTGACAAATTTGCGAAAACCATTCTTAAGGAATACATGTTTTAGTTTTTAGATCCCTATTCATATGCTGACATGAGCTTAATGAACCATAGAAAAACTTTCCCAAGTTCTGAAAACGTGGGGAAAACCCAAAGTTTCAGTTTTTAATTCAATTCCAATAATGGATCAGGCATTTATTACATCGAGTATTGGCTGCAAAATCCTGGTGAGAGTCGCAGATATTTATATTCAGCTATTGGGATGGCATCAAATGGTTGGTATAACAGACTGTATACGGTGACAGGACAGGTTTGTGGCCTCATCACAACTCACAACATACACTGCAATATCTGTTCAGTCTAATTCTGTTTATGCATGCAGTTTGTGGAAGAAGAAACAGACAAATATGCTTCAGAAGTTCAGAAGGTGAACTTGTTTTCTTTTTTAAGTAATCCTTTATTTAATAATAGAACAAAGGTTACGAAGTTACGATGATCCAAGACATGTAGTGGATAAGATGAAGTAGCGTTGGTCATTGAAGTGGCTTCTAAGTTGTTTATTGAAATTCAGCTTCCACTTGGTTTCTGCAGGTAGTGGCATCTTTTAGGTTCATATGAAGAAATGGTTATGCCGAGGAAGAAACCTTTTCACAACCCTTCATTTTGTTTTTCTATTCCAATTTGGATTTTCTTCAAAATTGTTGAATGAAAGTAATATAAGGTTAGTGTCAGTAAGATACAATTTGAGATGATTGATAAGATATTTTACAGTGATTGTGAGTGCCTCTGATAAAACTTTGCCTTAACTGAAGCAGCCAGAAAAGAAATTAGTGGTCATAGCCTTGATAGAATATGGTTATGAACAAAGGATTCTGTGTCATATATGTCCGATTCACAAATTTCTGGAGAAAAAACCTTTGAATAAGAGGTTAAACTTGTTACATGAATAATATCCACCAATAACTTATTACTTCCTGCCTCCATTCAGTGTTACTACTTCCATGTTTTTTAAGTCTGGTTTAAGATTTTTTCTTGACAAAAAATTATGAAAATCAATAAGTTTTCTTAATTTCAATAAAGTATTTATCACATGAAAATATAAATTATGTAATTAATGTTTTCTTAATACTTAAAAGTTATAATTAAATAAAAACAAAAAATTCAAAAAGAGTTTTGAAATATGTTTTATTTTTATTTAACTGTTATATTTAAAGTTTTAGATAATATTAATTTCTTATTGTCATTTATAATATTTTTTAATTTTTATAAAAGAATAAGAGAGGAAGTAACATTCAAATAATTTTACTACACAGTACAATGTTTAAAGAAACATATCATGACTGCAAACAGAAAATCTATACCTATACATATAAGAGATTCTCTTTTTGGTTAACTATTTTTCTAAATTAAATAAATAAAAAATCATCTACTAAATAAATAAAATTGTCTACAAAATAAATATACAAAGACTGTCTTGATAAAATTATAAAAATTATTTATATTTATTTTTATAATTATAATTTTATTACTTTTTGTTATCACAAAAAATAAAATGAGTTGTCATGTTTACTATAAGAAGGTTGATTATTGAAGAGTTGCTTAAAATTATAATATTGGTCCAATTATAATACAACATTATTGGGAGAATGAATGTTTCTGTATTTGTTTCATACTTTAAATTCATTTATTTAAATTACTTTGTTGATTCAAGAAAAAGGCTCGTATGCATCCGCTGCATATCCAAGCAAAGCATTACCATATTACATGTACAATTGGTTGAAAAATTTAAACGACCCTCTACATGAAGAAAGAGTTGCAGGAAATTGAACAGTCTCGTAAGACCCCGTCAGAGAAAAATTGAATACATTCGCTAAACCTAAGATCAATAGCTAAATTGAGAGTTATCAATGCCTAATTGAGACTTCTTAAACATGGTTCGTCTTTACACTATTTCCTTCTTGGCATTCTCCGGCTTTTGGAGCAGATGGTTTATTAAATAAAAGAGTGAGTTGATCAAGGAAAAACATATTTTTCATTTGCTCCAGCTGCTGCCTTTCTTTTTCCATCAGCAGGTCTAAATCTTCAAAATGGACAAGCTTGTCTTGGATACTTTTCATCTGCAGAACAGAATATCCAGTATTTAGCAAAAATAAAATAGAACTTAGTAAATACAAACACCATCAAGATAAACTTTGACCAAATTAACCTGAACTTCTATAATTGCAGAAATTCCTTTTTCCACATCTAACTCTTCCTTCTCAAGCTGTATATGTGCATGCAATCGAGATCCTTGGAATGAATCTGAAGTATTGCTACCATTAAATGGGACACTGGCATCTGCATAAAACATAAAGCCACCATTCTGCTAAGGAAATTGAGTTTAAAAATTAATGTCTCCATTTTCAATTCACAGAATCACATAGATCATGTAAAAACTACATAAAAAAAAGAGAAAAAAAATGAGTTTTCTACGGAAGTGTACAAAAGTTAACCACTGAAAAGAGGAAATGATAAATTTAGTGCACTAATGTAGATGCAAATATCAGTGCAAACCTACATTCAGAAATTATTCCAATCAAACAATTCAAGAACACAATGCAGATCGGTCCATCCATTCCCAGATAAATTACTTTAATACCGATGACATATCAACTCATTCATATAAGTCTGTAATCACCTTGCAGCAATGTACTCCTTGAAAATGACCGATAATTTATTCTAGTTGCTTTGTAAACCTCAGACAGAGTTGTCAATGCAGCTTGAGCAGCAGCCTGTGCAACCTCTGACCCGGCCAAAGCAGACAGGAAAGCAGCCTGCAAAACATTGTATAAGAAAGAGTTAATATATTATATTTATGACACACAAAGACTTCCAAAGAGATCTTTCTCCATTAGTCAGTTCAGCTATCAATAACTGTGTTAAAAAATCTATCCAAGACCATAGTAATTAGCTGTCATTTAAGTTAATTAGCCACTATGGAGCTATTGTGTGGCGGAGTCCCTCGGATCTGCAATCTCGAAGACATTGCCTCGCACAAACGGCTATTGCACTCCTACCAACCACACAAAATCTGTTAAACTTCCCCCATACAGAATACAGAAACCTCGGTTCACCTTCACGTAAGGATCTAGGGAGGATTCCTCTATCAGCCTCTGTCACCTCCTACTTCAACCTCCTATCATGTCCACAATTCTCCAACCAATTGAACTTTTGAGTTAATATTATGCTAGTTTTTATGCATTTTAGTTTAATTTGCATAGAACTTAATTGATGTATATCATCTATTTCAACCACCATGCAACTTCCTCCATCTTCCCACAATGACATCTGGTATATGATATAATGGATTCTAATATTCCATGATCTGCTATTGACAACACTGGTAACCATCTAATTATTAAGATATAGCGCGGTTAGTGCAGTTCGTTTTTTCGTCTTTCTATATAAAGAGAACAAGAAAGAACCTGGGTCATATATAAAGAGAGCAAGAAAGAACCTGAGCCATAATAGGATTGCTTGCATCTGCAATAGGCGTGAGACGCATTCTCTTACTAGATTCAGCTGAGGCAACATTATCCAAATCAGATTCAGTATCAGCATTAGTTACCCTCTTTAACTGATTAGAACTGTCATCAGTGCCATTGACAGCAGGTTGTAGTTCATAACTCTGGAATCGATCAGAAAAAGGAAGCTTCAAAAAATGAGCAACACACTCCTTCTCAGTTCTGCCAGCAACATGCTGAGATACCCTCTTCCAATCATCACCATAATGCGTAATAGCTTCCAGAAGATTTGTTGTCTCCTTTTCGCTCCAATCCGTCTTTGTCTCCTCGCTTATCTCCACTCGCCTAAACTCCGCAGAGCTCACACCAACTCGATAATTGCCACGAACATAACACCTCGCACAAAGAGTCAAATCATACTGCACACACTTCAGCTTTTTCTCTATCAAATGCTAAAGAAAACTTAGATGTTGTAGTTTAGGTAGATCTGGGGAAACTGTGGTATGGTCCAGACCACCATCATGGCCATAAATCATAACCATCACGTGACTCATAATCAAGTTCCACTAATTATTTGTCATAAATTAAAAAAATAATGCATATATGTAAATTAATCACATATATGGAGACATGATGGTCTCTGATCATACAACAATTCCTCGTGTATTATTTTCCAATTAGTGTTAAAATTTCACTAGGTAACTTATAGTGTCCTTCAATGTAAACATCTATACTCTAAATTATCGAGATAGAACTACAAGTATCATAGGCTAATAACACCAGATATACTAAATTGTTTCTAAGTTGTGTCAAGACAAAAAATAATAGATAAAAAGTAACCTTGTCACAAGCAAAACAAGCAATGGTACAAACGGCTTTGCAGCCACTGCAGAGTCTCTTCGTGTTTTGTTTAGCGGGAGCGGAAGAAGATTCGGTGTGGTTGGACGCAGAATCGGTTTTGGTCTCTTTGTCGTCCCACTTCAAGGGTTTGGCCAGCGACGAAGACGGGTGGTAATTGATAAGGCCCCAAGCTTCAAGAAAATCGAAGACTCTGCGGATCGAACCGACGTCTCCGACGAGAGTTTTGCGGACATCCGTGAAGGTGATTTTTCGGGTGGGATTGTACCTGAAGAACTTGACGATAGAATTCCTGTAGTACTTGTAAACCCTAGGGCTTTTGGAAGCCGATTCGAAGAACTCGGGTAGGTGACGCACCTCGCTTTCGTGAATCGAGTCCCACGAGAACCATCGAGAGTAGCTCGGGACCACGATTACGTTCGCGTCCGCGGAAGATTTCGGGTCGGACAATGGCGCCTCCGGCTTCACCGCTGCCAACGCAGGCTGCGGGGGAGGCGGTGGTTGCTTCGGGGGAATTGGGGCCGGGGGGGTTTCCGCAGAAGAAGGTGAAGGTTCGGCAGCAGAGGAGGGGGCGGAGGGGGCAGAGGTGGCGGTGGTGGCCATGTCACTGGGCCGCCCTTATTACAAGATTCGAATTACGTATCTATGTGATTTTGAAGTAACTAATTAAGAGTTCATTCAGAAATTGCAACGGATCTTTAGAAATAAATAAACACGTCAGCTCAAATAATGTGTTATGAAATTGAAATCCAAATATCTTTTTATACTTTATGGATGTTGTAAGTTCTTCTTCAATCAAAATGTCTTTTTATGCCTTTTTTTTTGTAATCTATGTTTACAATATTCTTGTAAGATTTGTATTTTTATAGCTTCTTTGAATAAATTTCAATCTTTAAAACTTGAAAATATTTAGAATGTCTCGTATGTTAGATGTCACAAAAAATAATAAAATAAATAAATTATAGAAATCAATAAAAAAATTATTAAAATCGATCATCTTTTAAAGAAAGAAATACAAACGTGGGAAGGATTTGTTTTAAATACTTCTACCTAAAATGTCTTGTTCTAAAATACAATTTCTAATACAAAAAAGCCCTATTTTAAAACACTGCTTAACTTTTAATAATTTAAAAGTTTATTTATAAAATATGATTTCAAAATATGTGATTTTAGTACTATTAAAATAACTAAATATATATTTAAAACACATAAGTCATATTTAAAGCACTACTTGCCCTTATTTATTTATTTTAAAAAACAAACATTCATTTTAAAAAAATATATTGCCCCTCAAAAGTGAAAAAAAAAACTTTAGTCAATCTTGTCTTGATACATTTGTTCTCTCTGTTTAGATTTTCATTTTTATTCAATATTTGAATTATTATTAGTATTATTATTATTATTATTATTTGCCAGTCTTTTATTAGTAAAATA